CCACAACTCGGTCTTGTGCTGCTGCAGCAGCAGCAGCAGCAGCAGCAGGAGTTAAATCCTCTAAAGGCGGAGGCCCTATTTTGTGGTTTTGCAAAAATTCAATTTCTGCTGCTGCCAAAGAAAACCCTAGCCCTCCGCTGTCCAGGTTGGCCCCTTCGAATTCGTCTGCGCGCAAACCCTAAACCCTAAACCCTAAACCCTAAACCCTAAACCCTAGACCCTAAACCCTCGTCAGCAGCAACAAGACGTGCATGCAGCGCTCCTCGCGAAACCCTAAACCCTTGAGTTGATCAAACCCTCGGGCTCTCCCCTAGCTGACGCCCAATCCCTAAACCCTTAACCCTAAACCCTAAACCCTAAACCCTAAACCCTAAACCCTAAACCCTCATACCGTCGGAGTTGTCTTCACTTAACCGCCTTTGCCTGCTGCCCTGACTGCAACAACCCACGAGACCTTCCAAACCCTAAACCCTAAACCCCAAACCCTAATCCTCAGACCCCAATCCTCAAACCCTAGTTACTGCTGCAGCTGTTAGGGTTTAGGGTTTAGGGTTTAGGGTTTAGGGGCCCGCACCTCTGTGCAGCTGGGGAGCCTCCTGGCTGTGAGTTGAGGCTGCTGCTGTCCTGCTGCCACAAAAACAAACTTCGAGGGTTTAGGGTTTAGGGTTTAGGGTTTTATCCATTGCTGTCTGAAGTGAGGGTTTAGGGTTTAGGGTTTAGGGTTCAGGGTCACTTGAAGGAAAGAGAGAGATTGGTCACGCAGTCGTTCAGCTGTCCCTTCTCTCCATGCCTGCAACACAGGAGATAAACCCTAAACCCTAAACCCTAAACCCTAAACCCTAAACCTAAACCCTAAACCCCAAACCCTAAACCTAAACCCTAAACCCTAAACCCTAGTGTTCGCTTTCCTGCATTTCCACCAACAGCAGTTGACTCCGGCATCGCAAATATATAGAAGAACACTCACACTGTAAACCCTAAACCCTAAGTCCTCGTAAACCCCAAACCCTAAGCTCTAAACTCTAAACCCTAAACCCTAAACCCTAAACCCTAGTTTCATTGTTTTACCTTGAGGAACTCTTCTTGTGTCTCTTGAGGGAGAGACAAAGAATTATCTTTCACCAAACGGGCAGCAAACTCTGCAGCGAACAAAAACAGGCTTTGGAGTTTACGGCTTAGGGTTTAGGGTTTAGGGTTTGGGGTTTAGGGTTTAGGAATCAGGGTTTGGGGTTTACTTGCGTCGGATGAAGGCTAGCCTCGGAAGTTCGCTGTAAGGGTTTCGAGCTGGGGAAATACCGAAAGGGTTTTGCTTTTAGGGTTTAGGAAGTCCAGATAAGGGTCTAGGGTTTAGGGTTTAGGGTTTAGGGTTTAGGGGCTCACTGTCAATTAGCTGTTCGCAGATCTGCTGCACCTGAGGCTTCGAGTCTGCAGAGAAATTCATGCTGGTGGTTTTTTTCAGAAAGGCAATAGAGAGGCCTCAGTGGAGAAGTTCATGGCGATAACTTCTGGAAGTTGCAAAAATGAATTAAAAAGAGGTTTTTAGGAAGAAAGGCGGGAAAAAACGAGCAGCGAAACCCTAATTTAGGGTTTTGCAAAAATTCAAGTTGGCGTACCGTGGGGCCCCTGCATGCGGAAGCAGCCGCTAAGCACTTCCTTCAGAGTCTCCGAGAGCTAAAAGAATAAAACTGAAAAGTTCTGCAGCTTTTTATTTCTTTTTATTTTTAATTTGAACTGACGGAAGGCCGAAGAGCTCCGGCGCCGCGCGCAGTTGCAGTGTACGTACACCTGAGACCAGTCGGCCGTGCCTGCGAGGATGTCGGAAAAAGGGTAAACTTCGCCGATCTGCCATTTTTGAGTGGTTTTTTTTGCTTTTTTTTGTGGAATTCGTTTTTAAAATGCAATTTCCTTCATTTTGATGTGCCGGGTTCGCGGGGAGGCGCGCGTTTTCCCCAGCTTTCCCGACTCCTGCCCTCTTTGCGCTCAGCGGGAAAGTCACCTTCAAAATCACCCTCGCCTCCGACAGCAAACAGCCCTTCAAAGTCCTTTCCGTCCCCGACGCCACTCCCTTTTCCGCCGTCATCAAATTCGCAGCTGAAGAGGTAAGAACTGCAGCAGCAGCAGCAGCAGCAGCAGCAGCAGCTGCTGCTGCAGCAGCAGCAGCAGCAGGGTTAGCTGCAGCACGCACGTCACCGCCTGCTGCTGCAGCACTGCAGCAGCGGGAACTGCAGCAGCAAAAGTCTGTGCGCTTTTGCTGCTGCATTTTAAATGCTTTTTGTTGAATTTGTTTTTCTTTGGAGTTTCTGAGGTGTACGTACACCTGGACGGCCTGGGGAGAGCGTCTTTTCACTTTTCGAAATAGTGGAATTAAGAAAGTGAATTTGAAGATTCAGAATTTGTTTATTTAGTTCTTTTCTTTTTGTTTCTTTTGTTCATTTCTTTGATAATTGAAAATCACTTTTTCTTCTTTTTGATGTTTCGAATTGATGCAGCAAAAAGCCCTTTTGTCTTCTCCGTGCAGTGTCTGTACACCTCGTGCCGACGAGGGTTTAGGGTTTAGGGTTTAGGGTTTGTCGGGGGTTTCTCGAGTATGTGGCCTTTGGGCTTCGTTTGTTCGAATGGGGCGACGGCTGCTGCTGCCCTAGGGTTTAGGGCCTAGGGTTTAGGGTTTAGGGTTTAGGGTTTAGGGTTTGGGGATTTGATAAAATTGTTTTTTTTTATTTTGCAGTTCAAAGTAAGTGCAGCAACTTGCGCATGCATCACCAACGATGGAGTTGGCATAAACCCTCAGCAAACCGCAGGAGTCATTTTTTTGAAACACGGGGGCGAGTTGCGGCTGATTCCCCGTGACCGAGTAGGGTTTAGGGTTTAGGGTTTAGGGTTTAGGGTTTGGGGTTTGGGTTCGCGGCGGAGCGGCCGCCATCCGCGGCGGCGCGGCAGCGGCTTCGGAGGGTTTGGGGTTTAGGGTTTAGAGTTTGGGGTTTGCTAGGGTTTAGGGTTTGGGGCTTTGGAAAGCTCTACTCCCTGGCCAGCCCTAGGCTTCCGGTGCGTGCAGCGGAAAACCCTAATTTAGGGTTTGGGGTTTTGGAATTGAAAAACTTGCGAATAAAACCGCACTCTGCGGATAATTCGGGTTTTGGTCTGCAGCTTCAAGAAATTGGGGTTTTGAGAAACAAAATTAGGGTTTAGGGTTTAGAAAGAACGGTTCCAGATTCTGGGGTTTTCGGACCACGCCGGCCAGGTGTAGGGTTTAGGGTTTAGGGTTTGCGGAAGCCGAGCTTGGGCTTCGGGTGCAGCGGGTTTAGCGCGTAGGGTTTACAGGGGCAGTCCTAGGGTTTAGGGTTTACAGGGGCAGTTCTAGGGTTTAGGGTTTACAGGGGCAGTTCTAGGGTTTAGGGTTTAGGGGGCGGGGTTTAGGGCTGCTAGGGTTTAGGGTTTGTTGGCGAGGGTTTCAATGAGCTCACAGAGCGCGCGGGCGTCGCGGCCGAGCTGCTGCTGCAGCTGCTGCTTCTGCTGCTGCACCTTTCGCAGCATTTTGTCCAAACTTTGCAGCAAATTGGCAAATAAAGAAATTAAAGTTTCTCCAGAAGCAGCTTCGAGTTCCATTTGCCGCAAATTGCTCACTCGCAGCGGCACTGCGCAGGGCCGCGCGGCGGCGGCGGCGGCGCTCGCCGCGGCCGCTGCAGCGAAAGCAGGTGGAAAGCGCCGCAAAAAAGTGGAAAGCTCATCGAAATTGAACTCCAAATTCAAAATTAAATATATTTCAGCCAAAAATTAACAAAAATGACGCTCAAATAACCTCAAACGAGCCCGCGGCGCGTCGACTTGCAAAAAAGTGCGCACTTCCCGGGTGTACGTACACCGCAGCAGCACCAGCAGCAGCAGCAACGGCCGGAGAAACTGATTTCAGTTTTTTCAAACTAACCTTTTATTTCCGCCGCCAGTTTGAGAGCCAAAGGATCCACTTCATTTTTGTCTTCGTTTGGGGCTTCGCTGCGCAGCGAAAGAGGGGCCTCAGCCGCAGAACTCCGGCTTTCTGCAAAACTTGCAAAGGCGACGTCTGGGAGCCCGCCGGGGGCCCCCGAGGCCCCCGCCGCGTCAAATGAGCCAAAAATCGATTCTTCTTCCATTAATTTGAGAAGGAAAGAAATTCAAACGAAAAAAAATGAGAAAAAATGAAATTTAAACGAAAAGAAATGCAGGAAAGCAGCCGCCAAGAGTTCGGGTGTATGTACACCCGGCGTGAACAACCCCAGAGCCGAACTGCAAACCGCAAAGCTGAATGGATGAAAGCAAATCAGTTCATTTAAACTTTAAATTAATATTATAATAAAAACTTGAAAATAAATATTATAATAAAAAGAATATTCTCAAGAACTTGCAGAAAGCTCCCAAAAGCCCCAGCGAGCGCCGCAAACCCTAAACCCTAGAAAAACCCCAGACCCTAAACCCTAAACCCTAAACCCTAAACCCTAAACCCTTCATTTTTAACTCAATTATGTCAATAATTCTTATTTTATTTTTATTTTTCCTCTTTTTAAACAAAAAAATGCAAATTCAATGCAAAACAAAGGGGGGCCCCCCGGGGGCCCCCCAGCCCCTTGGGGGCCCCCACTGGGGCCCCACTGGCTGGGGCATTTATTTTTGGGCCCCAATTGATTTAAATAAACAAATATAATTTAATTAATTTAATTAATTTAATTTAACTAATTTAATTAAATTAATTTAATTAATTTAATTAATCTAAATTAATTAATTTAATTAATTTGATTAATTTAATTAATTCAATTTGATTAATTTAATTTAACAATTCGACTTTTTTAAATTAAAAAACGTACAAGGGCAACGTAGCCGTAACTCAATTTCATTTCTTTTCGAATTTAATTTTTATTTTATTTTTTTAATTTATTTTTTTTATTTTACTATTTTTAGTTTATTTCTATTTTTATTTATTTCTTTTTATTCTTTTTTTTATTTACTTAAATGACGTTTTTAGTATTAAATGGACCCGCCGCCTCAGCCATTTTAGCTGCTTCTTCTTTTTTATCAATCCAGCAGCAGCAGCAGCAGCAGCAGCTGCTGCTGCTGCTGGCGCTGCTGCTGCTGCTGCTGTCCCTGCTGCTGGTGTCTCTGCTTTCGGTGCCCCTGCTGCTGCTGCTCCCGCTAGTGCTGCCCCTGTAGCTGCTGCTGCTGCTCCTGTAGCTGCTGCTGCTGCTCCTGTAGCTGGTGCTGCTGCCCCTGTTGCCGCTGCTGCTGCCCCTCTTCCTGCTGCTGCTGCTGCTGCTGCTGCTGCCCCTCGTGTTGCTGCTGCTGCTGGTGCTGCTTCGCTGCATGCCTTCCGTTCCTTGCTACGTGGCACTGGATATACCCTGTTTTAATTCCTTTTCATTTAATTCTCAATTATTAATTAATTTAAAAATTAATTATTTATTTATTTGTTTATTTTTGCATTCTATTTGCTATTCATTTTATCATTTTGCTTTTCCTGGGAGCCACTCTATGTCTATGTACTTACAGCAGCAGCAGCAGCAGCAGCAGCAGCTGCTGCTGCTGCTGCTGCTACTGCTGCTGCTGCAACCATAAGGGCTGCCTTAAAAAACAAATTACTGTCTGAGCACATGCTGCTGTTTCTGCTGCTGCTGCTGCTGCTGCCGCCAGTGCCGCTGCTGCTGCTGCTGCTGCTGCTGCTGCTGCTGCTGCTGCTGCTAGGGGAGCAGCACGGCCTTTCCTATATATTCAGCAGCAGAAGCAGCAGCAAGAGC